GGGGCTCCCCCCTGCAGCTGATCACATCAACCGGGAAGTTCATCTTGCAACACTTCATCTCGCACTCCCATTCCCCGGCTGACGCTCGTAGGGGGGGCACTGCTTGCACCCCCACCTGTCGCCTAAGTAGGGAGCGTGGCCTCTCACGGGGTGCAGATCCCTTTTGGGCTGACATTGCAGCTAAGGACTGACATGTCATGGGGACATCTTGGCTACCCTTGTTTTTTCCTGTTGTACCTCTCTTCAGTAGAGTAGGTACTGTAAAAGCCACGCTGCTTTTAGTACCAGATGATCCTCTTCCTGGGGTGATCTTCCTAAGCTATAACAATGTGAGTGTTAAGAGACAGATCTGTACTAGGCGTGCAGTGCAAAATGTATGTTCCACACAAAGTGTACAACTGACACAGGAAGAAGTTACTCATGGCATCACTCTTTTCAAGTCTTGCTTGCATTTCTAAAGAGGTCTTGTACTATAACTAATTGTTCTAATGTTTTTAGATGAACTTGAAGAAATGTTGAATCCAATGGGAACAGTACAAACTAATCCTTACACTGAAAATGCAACAGCTTTGCACATTAAATTTCAAGAATACTCAAAACTGCCTATTTATTACCCTCCCTTTGATAAGGTAAGAAATTAAATAAGAAGCACAAATGCTAGTATGTAAGTGGCTATTTTTAACTCGAATCGTGAATTTCTATTGAATTCCACCCTTCCTGTCTTTTTGCTTTACTTAAACATGGAATATGTAATTGTGTCTTGATGCCTTGGTTTCAAGACATCGAAGCCAAGTCTTTGAGCATACTTTTTTCTAACATCCCACATGTCTGTTACCTTTTGTACTTTTGAAGGTCAGCAAAATAATGTTGTGTTTTTGGTTCTTTTTTAATTTTATAGCTGTCTTTAATAAAAAATATACTGTAGCTGGCATTCTGGACACTTCAGTATAAACGCATTCAATAGTTCAATCATAACTCAAAAGGATGACACTTCTGTTCATAAGAATTTATTTTATTTGTTCTCTATAAACCTTTCTTCTTCAGCAACTAAAATTATTCTGTGGAAAGCAATTTTATGCTTGTTTCTATGCTAAAATGAACTTAAGCCTGCTCTAAACTAAATCAACTTATATTGCCCCATGTAATGCCACCAATACGAGTACAAATCTCTGCCCAAGTAGAGGGAGGTGTGTTTGAATCTCTGTTCAGAATACAGTTCAGTAACTATAGTATAAATGCTAGACAGCTGGTCTAGTTACAAACAAGCAAGTAAAGCTAATCCCAGGAGACAAGTCAGTCATAAAATAAGTGTTAAAAGCAGCCAGTCACTGACATGTGTTGAAATAAGGTTTTATTTTCCCCATATGTTATTCTAGAGTTCTTCTGTAGGAAAGTTAGCACCAGCTTGGTTAAATTCTTGCTGAGATCATCACCTTTGATAGAGAAACACATGCAAATTCCAAAAACAAGGCTGTCTTGATCAGTGTCATTCTCAAATACAAGTCACAAGAACAAGGCAAAAATCATGATAATAAAATACAGTAATAATTAATTCTGTAATTCAAAATGACAGCAGATCCCTGCTAATCTGTCACAGAATGTCAGGAAAGCCTCCAAAACTATATATGCATAAGTAATTTATAACCAGTAAACAGTCATTTTCCTGATTAGAATGGGAAATGCCACTTCCTGAAAGTGCAGCAACTTCTCATACCAAAATAAATTTGGGCAATTATATCATCTGTTTACTTGGACCGCCTGTTGATTTTTTTTTTTTTTCTTAGTTGCATAATTTCTCAAAAAATGCTGAAGTTTTTGTTTTCCTAGCATTATTTTTTAAGTATATTGCCTACACTACTAGGTATTTTTTGTGTTCATATTTTCTTTTGTGCTTTTTTATTACATACATCTAAAAAGTCCTATGTTCTAACACATTCATATATCTCAATAAAATCTGGCTACTTTTTTTGCAAGTAGTTATCTATTTATAGTATTTAAAAGATATCTGACAGATTAATGTTCCTTATCTGTCACAACTGTTATTAGATGGCTTTGTCTTCAGTTGTACCCCAGAAGTCGTATACTTGAACCTGGGGGAATTTCCTGTCCTTTTTCTATAGTGGCTGCACAGGTAGTTGAATACTCGCTTGTAGAAATCAACCTTGAATAAGCAGCTAAATTTGTCAGTTTTTTGGTGTGCTTCAGTTTCTCAAAAGCACACTACTTTTAATACTCCAGAATGGTGGAAATGTGTTGCAATGTCTTTGGTAAATTCAGAGCACAGAAAGATACCTTCACTTGAAGAGTTCAGTTCCATTTTTGGGGATAAACTAATAACATTAATGATGTGACACTTCCAGAGGTGGCTCCAAATAAATCTTTCCCAGGAATCAAAGCTCATCTTTTTTGTTGAAGGTCTTTCTGGATTAAAATGATTGGCTGGTTCAGGTCCTCAGCTGGCAGAATGGATCAGTGCATTTATTTGACTAATATACAGCTGAGAATTTGGATCTGCAGTTATTTGTTCAAATTTTCAAATCAGATTAAGCATCTATGGCAGAATACCCTTACAATCAGATGTCCGAGCGTGGTTTGGGAATCGTTGATCTTAAAGATGCACCACAACATCAGCTCATCTGCAAAAAGGAAATGTAGCCCCTCACTAGCTTAACTGAAGCCAGTCATAGGAGAGGAGACAAAGAGCGTGAACTGTTTAGCCTAGGAAAATGAATGCTGAGAGAAGGATAGGATTACCGCAAACAAATCAGCAGGGAAAGATTGATTAACACTGAACTGTAGAGAGAAGTTTTTAAATTGAAGGATAATGTTGGCATAAAAACAAATAAGTATAAATTGTTCAGCAGTAAATGTAGGTTGGAGTAAGAAGAGGTTTCTAACTAACAGAACGGTGAGATTTTTGGAACAGCCTTTTAATAGGCATTTTTGCCCCTACTACTCCTAAGTTATTTTTAGGAGTGAGCTTAATCAGTTTATGAAATAATTATTTGGTGTGGTGGCTGTTGAAGTCAGGGGACTGACCCAGAAAATCCTTTCCAGTTCTATGCTCATGGCTGCTTTTTTCACAGTACCACTTTCTTGATACAACTTGTGAAAGTACTGATAGTATATGGCCACTGAATGGCTCAGAGTACTGGTAAAAAGATAAATGCTGTTGGTTCAAATCCAGTCAGCATCATCAGTTACTATATGTTCTATACATTCAGGGGACTGTAAAACTTGGTTAAAAATCTTAATCTTTTTCAGTGTGGCAGCTATCTAAATTAGAATATCTCACCACAACAGGGTTATAATTGACATTAATACTGACAGTTCGAGCACATCCAACAAGGAATGAAGGGGCATGGAATAGAACTACTTATCAAGTCAGTGAGCAACCGTGCAGTGAGTGACAGTCAACATGGCTGAAGATGTGTTTTATGGATAGATACTTGACAGCAGTTTCTAAGGATATAACCTAAAAGCTTTCCAACAATTAAATTGACTTATGATGTTTAAAGAGAAAGGGGAGAACTTTGTGCTTTCGTGCCCTGTATCAGAGTCTTTGATGCCAAATTACCTGGATCTACACAGGGACGTAGGTTGTAGCCGCGTTGGTCTAAGGCAGGTGTGGGCAAAATGCAGCCTGTGGGCCGGATGCGACTTGCCAAGCTATTCTATCTGGCTTGCAGGGAGCCTAAAAAGTTTAGAAAATTAATATTTATCTGCCCTTGACTGCCTGTTATGCAGCCCTTGATGGCTTCCCAAAACTCAGTAAGTGGCCCTCTGCCCAAAATAATTGCCTGCCCCTGGTCTAAGGACATAGGCAGACAAGGTTCTTTGGGTGAATCTGATATCTTTTATTAGACCAACTTAAATAGTTGGAAAAATACCAGCCCAGCCTCTGGCTGCTTTACTATTCATTCCATCCAGGAAGAGCACACAACAACTGCAGAGACTTCCTCAGCTTGACGAAGGGTTTTTAAACCCGAAAGCTTGCCTAAATTTTTTTTTCCCAAGTATTTAAGTTTGTCTAATAAAAGATAGCTAGATCTACACAGATTGCTACCTTCAAGTTGCCTGAAAAATAAGTGTTTTTTAGGTCAATATTGTTTGTGAACAATACGTTGCACTGGTATTTGTATTCCCCAAGCTCATAGCTGTTATGTAGTGCACGTGTGATTGTGAATACTATTCTGTTTTATAGAAGAATTTGTTTTATCAGCTATCAATAAAAAACACACTTCTATTGGAGAGGAATAATACTTGTTAGGACATATGCCCTAAAATCAGATAGAATTTTAAGACTGAATAAATATTTAATCAGATTCCTAGTTATATAAATGACACCGCAAATGCCACTTCATTGCTTTCCTTTTGCAACGTTTCCGCATAATGCGGTCAGATTTTTTATTTAAACCTAATCCTTACACTGTTATCCTTTTACAGATACTTGAAAAGGCAGCTGAAATTGCAAAAAGCAGTGACAGTGCTATGGCAGTGAGTATCCAACCCAAGTCTCTTTTTAAGAAAATAATATTTAAATTAAGGTTACTTTTCTGTCACTTTGTATTATTCTAATATAAAGTATATACGTGAACTCAAACTCAGAATCTTTAGTAGATGTGTTTTCATTTTTTCATTATCTTTTTTTTCTTTTCTTTTCTTTTTTTTAAGATTACCACTTTTTTAGGCATTAAGTCTTTTCTTCAAATCATCTATCTAGGCAGCAATTCGGTTGGAGTTGACAGAGTTGACAAGGGATGCTTTAAAAAAGACAACTGTATCTTACTTTTCATGGATTCTTCCTAATAAAAATTTTTACTTTGGTTTCTGATCGCCTACAAATTTAAAGATAAAAGTAGGTTGGGCACTGTTTGGTGTACTTGGTTGTTGGAGGTTTCCTGGGAATTCCAGGAACTGTGCAAAGAGTATGGGACAGTGGTGCGTGCCACTGTTTGAGCTGTCCTGGGGAGACCCAAAATAGATCAAGCTGCAGGAGAATGCTACCCACCCCTCGCATGATCCCAGGGAGACCTGAGACTATACAAGGGACTGAAGGGCAGTGGCACTGCTGCTTGCTCCGTCCTGTGTCTCTCATTGTAGCAGCTGGGTCACCGCAGGACTCCTTGTCAGCTCACCTCTGAGCAGGCTGTCAGGGAACCAGCTGTTCTCCCTCCTTTTGGAGGGCTATTAGGGATGACCTTCCTCATAGGGAACCTCCTTGTACCACATGTAACTGAGCAAGTGTTACACATGGCAATACAAAATAGCAACATAGTTTAAAGAGCTATCAGTCTGTTGTGGAACCGCTAGATCTTTCCTCCACAAACTGCTTGAATGGTGTTATGCTCCCTATTTGAACTGGGAAAAAGGCATTTTTTCCAAAATAAATGGGACCCTTGTCCATACCCATACAGGTCAGTTGCATCAAGAAGCAGTAACTTCTATTATATTTCATTACACCTTGTTTTGCATTTTAAATTGATAGAAACATTTTCTCAGCTTAATTTCTTTCCTTTGTAACATGCATTATAAGGGTGCATCTACTGAACAAGGGGGATTGATTAATCATCACAGTCTTCTTAAAATAGAAAATTCAGTATTAAACCTATTAAAAGTAAAATTAACTTTGACCTTCCAGAAATCAAAATTGTGTTAACTATCAATATAAAATGGAAAAAAAGATATTCTCAGAATAAAACAGGTTTTAGCAGTTTAAATGATGCCTGTGTTAGCATTTACAAAAACCGTTTCCTTTCTATTATGGGTGGAAGTGCATCCATGACTTCTAATTTTTACTTGCATATAACCTATCTGTGGACATAAAATTTGTTTGTTTGAAAACAAAAGAAAAATAGGTGCTTCCTGAACAAGACTGAGCTAAGAAAACAGCAAGATTGCCATCTAGTGTCATTAACACTGAAGTTAAATGACTTTTTCCAAGTACATTTTTGTAAATTGAATTTTGAATCAGTTTCTAGAACTGTTGTCTAGATATCTCCTTCCATTACTAGACTAAGAAATGTTTCCTTATATTTTTAAAAAATGAGTCTTTCTTTCTTTTCCCCTCCTGGTGTAGATTTAACATAGGGTATTAGATCAAACAAGTCATTGTCTTTTATAATGTGTTTGATTCTTGAAGTTACTTAACTAACTTGTATTTTTCTAGGGTCGAGGTGGCAAGAAGTTCTATGTTGTGCTAAAAGAAATCATGGAAAGGGACCCCTTGTCTCAACTCTGTGAAAATGAAATGGATCTTATTTGGACATTGCGCTATGACTGCCGTGAAAATTTTCCACAATCATTGCCAAAATTGCTGCTTTCTGTAAAATGGAACAAACTTGAAGATGTTGCTCAGGTGAGGTGAATGAGAAAGGCAGTCTAAAAATACTAGGGAGAAATCATGAGCAAAAAATTTCCTGTGCATGCAAATATTGGAAGTGTTTTGCCAAGCTTTGTATAAAACGAAGTGTGTAATAAATTTTGCAGAAGCATGTTGCTTCTAATTAAAGTGGTAAGCATTAAGAACAGGTCATCAGAATTTCTTCTTTAAAAAAATACCAGGGAAGGAATGTGCTTAAAGTTCCTTTAAACTAGAAGACTCCAAATTTATTTCTAAATGACAACTGAACAGTCCATGGAAAATTGGAAACAAATAAAACTAACCCAATTAATTTTTGGTGTTTTATTCGCCTGTGCAGATTTAGTATGTATATGGATATAAGCATTTATAAGCCCAGGGCTTGGATTGAACCTGCAAGGCTAAATTATTGGATTCAGACTCCTCCTTTATGTTAATTTGTTTGGTTAAACCTTTCTAAAACTAATTGCTCAAAGAAATTAATCAGTAGTTAATAAAGTGAATAATTGACTTTTTGCATAAAATATCTAAGGTGCACGTTAGTTTTACAAAGTAACTTGTCTTTTCCTTTTGTGAGACAACTTACTTGAGTAAAATTTTCATAAAGCTGCTGTAGAAATAATTAGAGTATTCAAGTGTCATGTTGCTGCAATTTACCAAAAGTAAATTTGTAGAATGAGACTGCCACAAGGTGCTGTATAGGAAACCCTCTTTTCTTCGTTGTAAGTGGCAAATTTACATTTTCCAACAACATTCTACATAGAATCTCAGTTTTGCATAGCTTCTTGAGAAAAGGTAGGAACTTTTTGGATGGTAACTTTTGAATCTATTTCAGGTTTCTTTAACAAGGGAAAGGACAAAAATTGTTATGCCATTATTAGTGGACTATGTACTTAGTGAACCTGAAAACAGCTGCTGTGTCTTTTGCGATTCTGAAGATCAGCTGATGACTTCATAATTCAGACTTTTTACTGAAATGTTTATTCTCCTAAGGCACTTATGAAGTGAAATTTTCCCTTATAGTGTTATCAAGTAATCAAAACCATTTTTATTCCTAAAATGTTGATCAATATTGTTTGTGAATTGCACAGAAAAAAATATTTTTCATGGTTATAATGTTCTTAATTCACAAACTAACTTAAAGCCATAAATACTACAAAAAATAATGTTGTCTTATATTTCTGTTTGAAATTTGCCTAGTTTTAATGCATATTCAGTAGATAAAGCAAAATCTCACAGAGCTTTAACAAACCCAACACCCAGTGTGACAGAACCAGATACTTGCTGCAGTACATCTGCTTGCTTTAATTTCAGTCTTACTGTTGCTAGAACTGTTCACTGAATGACGTATGATTCTTAGAGATTGTCATACCAAGATGATATTTGTTTCTATCTGTGGAATTAACTTCGGGAATATTGTAATGAAGTTCTTTAATGTAGTTGTCGCTGGTAGGTGCTGTAAGGCCTCGCACCCTTTTTGGTTGGTGCCTCCCTAGCGACACCAGGGTGAGACTGCACCCCAAGGCCACCTCGATGGTTCTGAGCGCTGCCTTTACTTGCCTGCCACAACTTTGATGTTGATTAATGGGGGAGGCAGTTCACTGTCAGTAGTCCCAGAGGGGTCATGACCCTTGTCTTTTTTTATGGGACTCCAAACCTCCCTTTTACCCCACCCTTACCACATCCAAAGCCTGGGAGGAGTCTGCTCCCTGTAACCTTCTCTGGGATGATATCTTCTCACCTGTGAGGCCCGCCTCAACCAGGGTCGGGTCTGTTCAGCTCTTAATCTCTCCTGAATTGATCCCTTGTCTTCGGGCCCACCTTCAGGA